CTATTCTATTCTATTCTATTCTATTCTATTCTATTCTATTCTATTCTATTCTATTCTATTTTTAGCATGTATATGTACTCTACCAATATGTGCCAACAGTTAGTGATGGCTGAATGCCAAGGGTTATCTATATCAATCATTCATTGAATACTGACATTTTTCAGGTACAAAATGTCATATGTTCGTTTGGTTCTAGGTTCAGAAAAAAGTGGACTTGATCCAGCAGGTCATTACCTAGTCATTTTTTTTTTTGTAAAAAAGTTTTATTATATTTTTCCACATTTCAATAACATCTCATCTCACATTTCCATACAAACATGACCTTAATTACATATTCATCTTTCACATTTAATTTCATATCTTATCATTACATATTTTCTATTAATTTTTTCAAATACTTTCCTCAAACTTATTTTATATATTTTCAATTCATTTCTTAACCTATTTCTTTTAACTTTAAATAATTCTCATATCTTCATCTTCATTTTACTTTATACTTTTATCTGTCAGGTTTGCAATTTCATCGTGTATTCTTATTTCATCATTTCAAAAATTCCATCTCAATTCAAACATTTCAAAAATTCCCCCCCCACAATTACCAATTAGAATGTGCCACCCCTATACTTTCTATATCATTTAATTAGTTCCTCTTTAAATCCCAATAATCTTTTAGTTTTTTAATTATCATCTTAAGAATTAATGACAATAATCTCCTAACAATTACTTAATACATATACCGTTTACGTCAGATTCTGCATGGCACTTTCCCCTTCAGTTACATCACATCATTTATAATTTCAAAAAGAAAAAATAATCTATTCAATTAATCATAAAAACTGATATTAATTTCATTACAGCAATCTTCATAATTCATTTCAACTATATACTTAAATTCATTAAACATAGTTAATAAGCTCATCATAGTTTCTCTTTTTTCACATTTATTCCATTTATCTCTATATATAGTTTAATAAAAAACAAGCATTCTAATAACAAAAAAGTATCAGTTCCAATCTTTCCATTTTAAAAATCTATATTTTCCTACTTTCTAGATAATTTATTACTTCAAATACATTTATACTACACCTCATCACCTTGCAGAATCCCCTTTCTTAGTCCTTATTTAACCATTATCTCTATGTCTTTTGAATAAACAATTTATTTACATTTTTGTTTGATTTCCATATTTCTTTATTTCCTGGTTCTTTGTCTTATTACTTCTTTTTTCCTTCTTTTTTCCCTCCTTTTCTTACTCCAGTTTTTATCCCCCTCCCTCTTTAAAACTTCCTTCTGGGATTCCCTTTTCTGCTGTTTCCTTTTACTTTGTTTGGTTTTCAAAACATTCCCCTTTTTAATTGCCTCCTCAAATCTCCAAGTTTTAATTCCCGTTCTTTCCCCCCTTCACTTTAATATTCGTTGCTCCAATTATTCATTTAAGATGGCTTCTTCTTTAATCAGCTTCTCCTCTTCTGGCACTTCTTGTTGTTCTTCATACTTTAAAATCTCCATTTCTAAAAATTGTAAGGCAGGACCAAATGTCTTTAGAATTTATTTCCAATGATCAGCTTTTATTAATTCCTCTTTAGGTTTTTTCCAAATTCATTAAATAGTCCAATATCCATAAGTTTAAGTTTATGCCAAAATCACCAAACAATCCCAAGGTAATTTCTTCCTGCTTCTTTCTTTTGTTTTAATGTTCAGTATTTCCACTTTCCAGGGTCTCTTATTTTGTTGTAACAAAGTTTCACTTATTTGTATCAATTGCTGCTACATTTATTTTTTGTTTTGACACATTCAAGTTCACCTTTAATTATGTCTATTTAGTGCCAAAAACATATATTTATCCAATTTAAACAGATATCTTCTTCTGGCTTCCTCCTTTCAAAGTTCAAAGCCACTTTCAGCTGTCATTTTTTTTTTCTTCACTTTCTCTGGTCTCCGCTTTTATTATCTCTCTTAAAAATTTCTTAGGATTTTAATTCCAGGGTACCTTTTGTTTAAATGTTGTGCCTGGTTAGCCTAATTTCATGCTGTCCCCTTTTTCACTGCTCCTGCACAATCTTTGTCCCGGTCAGCTCTTCTTCTTCAGGGTGGCCATGTTTGACCACCGCTACAGCCGTCTTCGGAGGGTAGTAAAATGCCTAGCCAGGGAGGAGAGATGCGGCTCCCCTCAACCCAGCTGGCGGTCTCCCCCTTCTTCACCATCCCTACAGGGTGGTTCTGGCCCCAAATGCAGATGATCAGAGTCCTCCAACGGGAGAGCACATATCAAAGCTGTGGACGATCATGGTCTCCAGTCCATCAGTGAGGAGGACGCCACCGGAAGTCAGTCATTACCTAGTCTTCAGGGACTAGGGTTACTTTCCCAATAGATACTATCCAGAAATGGTGGATTTCAGCTCCCCTAATCTTTTTACAACCTTGCCAGACATTGCTGTGTCAAGCAATTTTGGTTTCGCAAGTGTCTACTTTCCAGAAATATGTCGTGCATATTTTAAGAATAAGTCTTACAGAGAGGAATTACAACTCAACTGAGAGCTGAGAAGATGTTTGTATGTTTCAAGTGTCACATGCACTCCCTGGCATTTCCTGATAGCACAGCGGGAAAAGATCCTAGCCCGAGGCTCTGCAAAGCTGCTGACAGTTGATTGACACTATTGGATTAGATGTAGCAACAGTTTGACTGTAGGCAGTTTGACTCTGGCAAGGTTTGTTTTACAATGGCTGTTCTCAAGTTCAGCAGGTCTAGTCTGGTTAATGGTTAGACCACCTGGAGAGTCCATAGATGTCATTTTGTATTGTTCAGTGAAGAAGGAAAAAAAACAGAATACGTGTTTGGAAACAAATCACTACTTCAGCATGTGGTTAATCTGAAGGTGAAAGGGAAATAGCACTCAATTTTATTTAACCTCTTTTCATCTCATCTAAATCTCTTTGCTTCACCCTTTGAACATGTGAAAAAGTGAGGGGATTCGGGGAATTCTTATTTGGGGTAAATGATTACACAAACAAAACTCAGACCTATTTTAGGTCATATATTTATTTCAATAAAATTCTAATAGGAATGAACAAAGTAAAATAATGATCGGTATTTAAATATTTATTTTGGAATGAAAAAATGATTTTTAAATCATAGTTGGGGAATCACAAACCTATAAAATCTTATTTTGTCTTGCTGAAATAATTTTCTCAAACTATTTGATGTTGTCTGATCTACCACTGATAAAAGACAAAACGCTACTAGATATATAATTTGACAGAAAATACTGTTCTGTACAGGCAGCCCTTGACTTACAATAATTGATTTAATGATTTAATGACTGTTCAAGATGAAAATGGCACTGACAAACATGACTTATGAGCATTTTTCACACTTATGACTGCTGCAGGAACCCTGTGGTTGCATGATCAAAATTCACATGCTTGATAACTGATTTATATTTATAATGGTCATATGATCACCTTCTGACAAGCCAAGTCAACGGGGAAGCCAGATTCACTTAACAACAGTGGCAGGAAAAGTTGTAAAACAGGTTAAAACTCCCTGAACAACTTTCTCGCTTAGCAACAGAGATTTTGGCCTATACTGTGGCCAATAAGCCGAGGACTACCTGAATTTCTTCCGATAAAAATGCACAGCTTGAGACGATATAGTCCTTGACATACAGCCGTAATGCAGCCTGTCCATTACTGTCTCAAGACGTGACAGTTTTTAAGTGAGGCGCCCAAGGGATTGCGTCATTCAATGACTTCAATTCCTGCTGCTCCCATTGCAGTTGTTAAACAAGCATATGGGTTGTTAAATGGAACAGAGGGCAGAGCCTTGTGAGGCCTCGCACTTCCTGCCCCCCTTGGAACCTGCTCTCTCCAATCAGAATCCCTTAGGTAGGTCAGAGGTGTCAAACTGGATTTATTCGAGGGCCGGATCAGCACTGTAGTTGTCCTCTGTAGGCCTGGCTGGGGGTGGGTGGGAGATTGGACAGATTCAGTGGTGGGATTCAAATTTTTATACTGCTGGTTCTGTGGGTGTGGCTTGGTGGGCGTGGCAGGGGAAGGATACTGTAAAATCCCCATTTCCTCCCCACCCCACTAATCTGCTTTCCAGCTCCATTCTCCTGTGCAGGGCAACAAAAGACCCAGCCGATCACCGGGACTTGGGAGGCAGAGAATAGATGGGGGCAGGGCCAGTCAGAGGTGGTTATTTGCCGGTTCTCCGAACTACTCAAAATTTCCGTTACCGGTTCTCCAGAACTGGTCAGAACCTGCTGAATAACCACCTCTGGACAGATGGCAGATGAGACAGATGCCTCCCGCAGCACTCTGCTGACCAAAATGGGGCACGGGGGGGGGGCACCCCTTGTTTTCACTAGCAGAGGCACCCCAGGCTGGTCCTTTGCTATTTCCAGACCAGCCCCATGGGCCAGATCTAAGCACCCTCGGGCAAGATCCGCCCTGCAGGCCTTGAGTTTGACACCCCCGCCGTAGATTAATTCTGTGTAATTAGGTCCAGGAAAACTGCAGTCATAACAGATGCACAGCTGCCGTTTCTTACCAATTTCCTGAGCATCCTGGTTGCTTTGCCTGGTTTTCATCTGGAGCTGGAATTTGTGCTGAGCAGAGCAGAGCTGTAACAAGTACTGGCAGGTTTTGGTTGTATCTGTCTGGAAGGTGTGCTTTATACCATCAGATGTGTTCTGCAGCGTTATCTTTCTTTTCTGCAATAGGACAAATATAGAATATTACATGGGGAAAAGGACCTGGTTTCCAGTTTGAGGAAGATACATTGTTCAAATGGAAGAAATTGCTTTGCAGAGACAAAGCAATCAAGCTTGAGCATGCATTGAAAATACTGATTGCAGGAAAACCCGAGGTATCAAATTCTTGTGTGCACTCATGCCTGGGGAATTAAATGTTTTTGCTCAGTGTGCAAAAATACGTAATTTGGATGTTTTGAAAATGTTTAAGTAGTCGTCAGGGGTGGGATCCGACAGGGTTAACTACCAGTTCGGTGATTTATGAGGTTCGGTGATTTACGATGTGCTTCCCTGAACGCTGCCGGCGCGCGCCTGTAAATCGTCATCAGCACGCTGCGTGCAGAGAAGCAGCCTTTGAAAAAGCCCTTTTCCCCTGCTTTTTAAACTGCAGCTGTGCCTTGCATGGCAGCTGAAGTTGAAAAAGCAGGAAATAAAGGTCAGGTAAGAGCCCAGGTGGGCGGGTGGGCAAAAACACCAGCAGAGATAAAACCGGTTCTATGTCTGCTGCTCTTCAGAGCTCCTGTTTCTACAGAGGTGGACAGAACCGGTAGAAACCCACCCCTGGTAGTTGTGCTGGGCTAAAACAAGGCTGTTTGAAGTACGGAAACGCATCTACTTCCAGATTTGAGCTAATCTAATGTGGCCGCCTCCCTACGGAAGAGACCACACCACAAAGAAGCCCAACACTCAATCCATCACCCACTCATGTCAGCATAGCCAAGGATGCTGCTAGGCAACAGACAACCATCTTTACCATTCAGAACAAGGTACAAACATTTGCAATTAGCACAGTTCTGTACAGAGCATGCTTAGGAATAGTAGATGCTATTTGTATGGCTTTATCCATATAGGTAGTCCTCCATTTATAACCAGTTATTTAGCGGCTGCAATGATATTTGCTAAAGCATGATTTATGACTGGTCCTCATGTTTAGGGCCATTGCAGCATCCCCATGGTCATGTGATCAAAATTTGAGCTTTAGAACCAGCATATATTTACGATGGTTGAAACATGCTGGGCTCATGTGATGGCCATTTCTAATCTTTCCAGCCAGTTTCCAACTAGCAAAGTCAATGGAGGAAGTTGGGTTCATTTATGACCATGTGTTTTACTGAACAACTGCAGTGATTCATTTAACAACTGTAGCAAAATAGTCATAACATTGGGTATGGTTCACTTAACAATTGACTTCCTTCACACCAGAAATTCTGGTACCAATTGTGGTCATAAGTCAAGGACTACCTGTACAAATCATTTTATAGAATGTTACCTAAGTGAAACCTACATGAAATTTCTTAGTCAACCTACAGATGTATTAGAAGTACAATTCCAGGCAATCTTAAAGAACTGTTTTTATATTAGTTACCTGAAACTGTAAATTAGGGAAAATGTAAGAACTATTCTATTTAAACCTTTGCCCACCTGACTTGTTAAAAAATATACTAAACTATGTTTCCAGGGATCATGTCCCTGCTCTTTAAAGTATGTTTGATATTAGTTTAATTGTGTTTTATATATTCAAGAAAAGCAGAAGTTCTTAAAGTACACTACTGCACTTTATGCAGAAATTTACATAGTTTCGTTTAGTTTACTTTATTGTCATTGCACTTCGTACGATGAAATTAAACGCCATCTTCAGTGTACATTATAACTATAAAAATAAAAACCAAAACACACGTCCTTCACATTCTATACAATTGAACTGAAAACCCCCGATATTGCATTAATATGCACTATACAGCAGAATTCAAAAGAGCGACTGCCCTGGGATAGAAGCTGTTTTTCAGCCTATTTGTCCTTGTTTGTATTATTCTGTACCGTCTGCCAGATGGTATTAGTTCAAAAAAGGGTGCCCAGGATGAGATGGATCTTTGAGAATGTTTTGAACTTTCTTAAGGCAGCAGGAGCTATAAAGCTCTTCCAAAGAGGGGAGAAGGCAACCAATGATCCTCTGGGCAATGACTTTAACCCTCTGGAGTGCTGTCCTATCTGTATACTAAGAAGGCCAATGCCTACATTTGCATTGCAATGAGCAATGACATTTGAGCAATGATTTTTGACATTAGAAAATTGAGGTATCTACATTCCCGAATGGGACAATCTTAGAAGGAACACATGGTGTGCTTTCTCCATTACTGACTTTGCTTGATGAGATTTTTTTTAGATGGAACCATATTCTGTCCAAATAGCTAGCAGCCCTGGCAAAAATTTCTCCTCTCCTGAAAATGGGCTTCTTCATCACGGTTTGAATCATCTGGTTTTTATTACTAACATATTTACTGCACACTATGGAGCATCTTGTATCATCCTGGTTCTTTGTTATTTTTGGCACGTCATTGTTTTAATACCGTAGGTAACTCAGCTGGAGTGGGGAGAAAGAGAGGAAAGGCCTTTCATGATCCAGTCTGCCATTCTACACACACACACAAAAATGACCAACATACACTGAAGGAAATTTTCTTTGTTTCTCTCCACGGGAAACGAAGGACAGGCATTCGGGTGCCGTTGTGAACTTCAAAAATAAGAACTCCTTTGGAGCAAATTCCTAGCAGAATTCCAGTCTGAGATTTTTTCTCTGGCAGCACACGATGAAAATGGACACCATAATCTGTCAGTCTTTGGCAAATCTACCAAACAGGAGAGAAGAAGTCAGAGAGTGGGAGAGAGAAAAAATGCATGGTGCTTATTTTGAGAACACCGTGAGATCAAAATGATTTTTTCAGATTGGTTTTACAGTACAGGGTACTAGTTCTGCTCCAATCACAGGTTTCCTTTGAAGTTTACATTACAATGGAGTGGGCTACACATTTTATTTCTTAATTTCTAGATTCGATAAAGAAGATTGTGCAACCTTTTAGTGACTGAGAGCCAGATTTAAATATTTTGGGGCACGCAGCAGTTTGCAGGGCAATGAGGCAAATTGTGTAGGACCTTTTCTACAATTGGGCTGGTTTAAGGACTTTCTGAAAAGGGACGCAGTGGCTAAGACGCTGAGCTTGTCGATCAGGAAGGTTGGCAGTTCGGCGGTTCGAATCCCCAGTACCCTGTAATGGAGTGAGCTCTTGTTACTTTTCCCAGCTTCTGCCAACCTAGCAGTTCGAAAGCATGTAAAAATGCAAGTGGAAAAATAGGGACCACTTTGGTGGGAAGGTAACAGTGTTCCGTGCGCCTTCGGCGTTTAGTCATGCTGGCTACATGACCACGGAGATATCTTTGGATAGCGCTGGCTCTTTGGCTTTGTAACAGAGATGATCACTACCCCCTAGAGCCGGAAACAACTAGCACGTATGTGCGAGGGGAACCTTTTACCTTTTTAAGGATTTTCTGTTATCACTTGGATTTACTTATTCCTTGCTATTTTCTTTTAGATACCGTAGTCTTGAACTTATTTTAGGTTTACGGTAAAACCTTGGCAGATTTCCTGCAACAAAATGATGGGAAAGTATCCTGTTTTAACTTTCAATAATCCTGATCAAAGGAAGTTCTGAGGACCAGAAGATGGTTCTGGAGATTCTATATGGCTTTTAGTTGTAAGCTGCAGCAGCCAACCTTTAACGAATAACAGCCCGTTAGATAGAACCAATATGGGACAACTCTCCCCATATTGAGAAAATTAAAAATGGAGGGCTAATGCTAGGGACTGAAATTCTTGGGTAGCTGTTGATGGACCACATCCCCACAGCCATGTCCCTAGTCTTGGGATGTTCCCCTTGATTCCTCTGGCTGTTTATTTGTCCTCTCCTAGTATGCAATGAAAAGTAGTAGAAAAAAGGGGCAGCAATGTCTAGTTATTTTGTCTTCTCTTTGGGGACATGACAGTGGGGACTATGCTCAAATAGACAGGAGAATGTTTAAAACATGGAGATGCCTTCAGGCATTCAAGTAGAGAAACTTGATCTGAAAGGTGCTTTTTCCAAAAGGCAACTGGACTGTTATTTTTTGGAAAAAGCACTTTTGGGACAACCAAGACTTGGATGATTGAGAATCTCCACCAACGTGTTAATCTGAAATCTTCCCACTTCAACATTATGAATCGGTCCCAAAGGTGCTTTTTTCAAGAGGCAACTGGACTTTCTGTTTTTTCTTTGAAGATGTTTGCTTCTCATCCAAGAAGCTTCTTTAGAGAACTTAAGAAGCTTCTTGAATGAGAAGCGAAACATCTTCCAAGAAAAACCAGAAGGTCCAGTTGTCTCTTGAAAAAAGCACCCTTGGGGCAACCATGACCTGGATGACTGAGAATCTCCATAGATTCTTTTTCTTTGTTGAGCCAACTATATGGTGTCACTCAGTTCTTTATGATGTTGTGCTACCTGGATGAAAACACACTACAAAGTTTCCATCCATTGACCAGATAGGCAATGATAAATATGGCTTACGCTAAACTTTGGCCAATGAGCATTTGGGAAATGAATTCCATGTTGCCAGTCTCGGATAAATTCATTGCGACTTGTGCATTTTTATTTGCCTTTTTCCTTTATCTATTGGTTAGAGAACCAAATAGGCAAAAGGGAATAACAGACTGGGTTTAAGTGTTTCTGTGACATGATTTAACTAGATAAGGTTAGCTTACCCTGTTTTTGACCTAGTTTTACTTTAACTATAATTAACTGATGAAGTCAACTGACCCCTTTTTAGCATTCGAAAAAGCAGTACTATCTCCACTGTTCCACGTGTTGTGGAAAAAGAGGGCTTGTGCGCTCAATATTTATAATGAGATCTTAATGAATAAATATATATATGAGACCTCTTGTCAACTGCAAACTATAGGAGAGGGTGGCCAACAACTTGTACACAAGCACATCGTCACCAATTATTACAGATGCATGTTCCGAGCCCTGTTAATTTGAAGGGTTCCCAGCTTTCCTGAAAGAGGTTTAAGATCCAGTTGGCTTCCCCCGCCCCCTTTCATTAGGATAGGAAAACCTTTTATGAAAACACACAGAATTTCTAACCTTCAGAAATTCTATTTCAGCTTCGTTTTCAGAAGCACCTGCATAGGTGCTATGCAGCTTTGGCAATTCTTCTTTCACATTAGGTAGCTCCAGATTCTCTATCACTCTTGCCGGCAAATAGTGTTCTGTTCTGAAGTAGGATAAGCCATGTATCTGCAAGCAGAAGCACCAGAGTAACACTGTAAGCCATAGTCCTGATCCCAGCTACCTGTAACTGAATGCTATGCCAGTTCAATAATGGTTGAGTAGTATAATCACAAGTGATGCAGAATATGAGACAGATACCTTGGTGTTCTCCATACCACTGCCAAAACCTTTCTATCAATTATTTGTCCCAAAATAGTATGTCAGGTCTTCTGTTCAAGTGGGGGGAGGAGTGAAGGTTGTACTAAAAGACCTCCAAGGTATCATGCCCTTGTTGGAGTCTGATTCTGAAGGGGAGATTGAGCAGCTGACAAGGAGTGGGAGTGTGGCTCCGGAAGAAACGGGGGAAGGGCACAGTCCGGTTGGGCATTCAGAGGAAGACCCAGGGCCACCCCCTCTTCATCCTAGGGCACGCAGGGAAGAACGGAGAAGGGAGCAACGTGGTTTATGGGGGAGGAAAGGGCCCTGATCCCCTTCATGGGTTGCAGCTGGGAAGACTGTTTAAAAGGACAAACTGTGCATGGCAAAGTTGCTGGAAGCAAAGCGTGCTTTATTTTTGTCGAGCTTATCTAGGTTTTGGTGTCCTCCCAACTGTGTGTGCTTCATTATCTTTTGGAAGTCTGCAATTTATTATCCTGGCGTGTCGTGTACTTCAGCGTGGTTTGTGTTGGTTTTTTTATTTCTAATTTATCTGTACTTTGGGTTTGGACTGCATTTCTTCCCTTTGTAGTCTGTTTGATCTCCAGCCGAGGATAACTGGACATTGGGGGCCAAGTTGGAGGTATTAAAAGGAATTTATCTACTTTTGTGCCTTTGTTATTTTTGTGCCACACCCTGAGTCATCACACAAGGTCTCTTCCAGTCTTGTTATTCTATGTTCTATTTTCAATCATCACTCCTAGATAATGATTATAACATTAAATAAGATCCAGATATCAAAAAGTGATCGGATCTTTCTGAAAATTGCAAGCATAGGCTTTTTAAGAACTTATTTTTTACACTGACTGCAGGGATGTTAAAAAGGCTCAACAGAATGCACAATTTATTACTTGAATCAGTAAATAAATAGATGTTGGTATGCTGCAATGAATAAATATGTCTTCTACTAATAGACCATCATGTACAATGTTTGTTCTACATTTAAGCAGCATGGCTGATGTCTTCCTTCAACTGTTCACATCTGTTAATAGTTGGCAAAACTTCCTGAGTGTACTTTACTGGAGCTATTATAGAAATCATTTTTCTTCTGACATGTTTTTGTATTTATACTATTTGCAGAAAAATTTAATATACCCTGATGACAGAATCAGGATGCTTGTGGCCTTTGGAAAGGCTTTTTTCTAGTCAGTGTTTACCTTTTCTCTGGCTAGAAAGTTAGCAAATCAAACGACAGATGTAACTAAACGGAGATTGCAGACAAAATACTTATCAATAGCTAGTATTCTCTGAACCAGTCATCAAGGCAGTTATGAATCTTCCATGCTTGCCGAGTTCCTTTGTATATCGTTGTGGTAGTTAGAATTAAATGAAGCAGGAAAACAAAAGCACATCTACTTGAGTATGTGCATGATGGCAGGCACAAATATTTAATTCAGATTTAGAAATTTCTTAAATCATGTTCAGGGCAGGTCCAGAATCCACACGCTTGGCTATATAGACCATCACTTAAAGCATAACTTGTACAGGTAAGATACTCCTATTTTCAGAGTGTATGGATGAATTTAAAATGTAAACTATCCTCAACAGAGCGAGAAGGCTAAATCTCTGAATGGACATCTCTATTTATGACTCTTATTCACAAAACTTTACTCTGTGTCTGCCTCAGGTGTGTTTAGAACTTTCATTCATCTGAAAAAGATCATTTGGAGAATTTCTGTACAAGTCCATGTCCTGGGCATTGCATGCAAAAGACAACATTTTGAAGGGTCCTTGGTGCTCTCTGAACTTGCTTGTTTTTTTGCAGACGCTTCATTACCCTAACTAGGTAACATCATAAGTGCATCAGGTTACCTAGTTTGGGTAAGAAATGTCTTCAAGAAAACAAAAAAAGCTCAGAGAGCCCCAACAAGCCCTCATTTCAACCCTGAGCTACAAATATCCTCCTTTAGAGAGAAAATATTTTTAACTATTAGTATAAAGTAAGGTTAGGAGTGTCAGGCTTCATTGCTTGCTCTGAATGTTCTTCCAGATGCTCTGAATCTGAAGAACTTTCAGTGACATTATGAGAGCTTTTGCAACTGTGACATGATGATGGTTTTAATAGTTATTACTTTATATGGACCAGAAACTTTAACATTGTGTTACCGGCTTCTTGAATGAATGTCAAAAAATGGACTGAAATCAGAAGTTTGAGAAATAGTTGCCTCATTATTAGTTAAATTAGTGCATTAATGTTTAGTTAATATTTTCTTATGACATAAACAGGAAGCCTTCCAGTCCTTTTACCATTACATTTGTTCCGTAAAACTGGATTACTTTGGCTTCAAGACCCTAACTGGGAGAAGATATTGATCTGAGTTCTATGGCTACAAACCAATTCAATTTGGAAAACCTTTGAATTCTTATCCTCTGCTTCCCAACTGCACATCTACTGAACCTTGACATTTAAGTAGCAGCCAAACCAACTGAGATGCTTTAAACTATAAAATAAGCATAGAATTGAGAGGTTGCCAACAAATGAAAAAAATATCCTTACTTCATCTTGGTAATCTCCATATTCCGCCTGGAGGGCTAAGGAGGCCAGCAATAAGGCTGTTTCGTCATCACAGTGTATCTTCTCTTCTAGAAGATCTTTCCTTAACTGCAGGTAGTACTGATGGTATGTCAGCGTGTGCCTGGAGCAAATCAAGAAAAAAAGAAATAAACAGGTCATGGGAGGCGGAAATAACAACTGCATGCAGAAGAGCTCAAGGCGACAATTCCCGTTTATACAAAAGCCCTTTTGTATGACACGGTTAACTGGATCATGGGGGAACAGGTTGAATGCATTATGTGAGAGGGGTTCTTTTGCCAGGAGTTTAAACATTAATTGATTTTAGTTTTCATTTTATGTCTCAGCCTTTATATTATGTTTTTACATTCGGTTTGATACCATAGTGCATGTTTGAGCAGAAACCTAAGTTATAAATTACATGAATGAATGAATGAATGAATCAACAAATGAATCAATTAATGAATCAAGGTCATGTAACAGGTAATTTCTACAGCACTGCAGGATGTTCAAAGCACATAACAAACATAAGGTAAGTTCAACAATTCCAGGTTTCCATGATGCCACTTTGAAAAACTTGGAACAACCTTCATTTTATAATCGTGTTTCCCAAGAGAGATTAGTCTGGCTAGACTCTCCAGATCAGAACTGGGTTTTTAGGGGACTTCCGGTTTGTCGGCTTCGCGAGCGGCAGGGATTTGCGAAGCTGCGCGATCCCTGCCGCGCTAGCCGTTTTTGGGGCTCCGACCCAGCCGGGTACGGAGCTAGGCTGCCCTGCAGGGGCAGCTGAAGGTAGGGGGGATCCGGAGAAGGGTTTGGGGGTGCTGCAGACCCCCTCCCTGGCCGGCAGAACCCCCTTTTCCCAGGACGGTGCAGCGGCGGTCCGTAATGGCCGCCACAAAGAAGCTGGCAGCCGGGTAAGAATGCGCAGGAGGAAGTGGAGAAAGTGATTGAGAGGAGAAAGTTTTTCTTGGCTCCTAGGACTCTAAGACATATTTAATAAAATTCCTGAAAAGTATGATTTTCTGAATAATACCTGCCAGAAGAGGAAAAAAGCGGCTGCTTGAAGGTGCTGAAAGGATAGCTTTCCCTCTTTTCCTACGGAATAAATAACTGGATATTAAGAAACCTATTTTTTTAGGTGGAAATTGGTTTTAAGCGATGAGTGGGAAGAGAGAGGATTAAAAAGAAAATATTTGTATGCTAAGATTTGTTGGAGCAGATGCCTTAAGGATTTGAAGACTAGAATATATTGTAACAAGACTTTAAACAGATTTGGACTTTCTTTCTCTTTGATTGATATCACCCCAGAAGGAGAAAGTGAGAACTCTGCCTTGGTTTGGACTGATTGATAACTTTGGGACTGTTTTATCTTTTTTATTTTCTTTTGAATATTCTGGTTGTTGTAAGAAGAAAGAAGGAGAAAAGAAAAGAAAAGATTTATAATGGCTCTTTCTGTTGAGGAACTAAGAAATGGTGTGGAAGAAGCTTTCCTTTTCTTAGAAATGGCGCTTACTAATTATCAACAAAAATTACAACAGATGAAGACAGCAGAGGAACAAGAAAGAAATGAAGGAGCCATCTTTAATGAATCTCAGAATTTGATCCAGAAAAAAAGAAGAGAGAAAGAAAAGAAAAGAAGAGAAAAGAAGAAAACTAAAGGATTTAAGGACTTAAGATCTAAAAAAACATTTAAGAAAGGGAAAAATAAAGTGCAAAACCAATATGATGATTGTAAACAAAGGGGAAAAGAAATACGACAGAGAAGGGAAGCCGGTAAGGCAGAGGCTAGAAGAAGGGGGGGTAGAAAGGTTTGTTGGGAAAAGAAAGAAAGGGAAAAGGTGGAGAAAAGCTACAACGTTTTGAAATTAAATGGAAAAAAGGAATTTTTTATGGATAATGGATAAAGTAAAAAGATTTTGCAAGGTACATAAGATGAGATGGTAGTATTGCAATGGTTTAAGAGTTGATAAGAGATTAAAATGTTAAAATGTTTAAAAATGATTGGTTTTAAAACTTAATAATAGGAGGGGTTTAGAATATTGTTTTAATTAAAGAGTTTAATAAAATTATGGTATGGATGTTATTATGAAATTTTTATTATAGTATTTCTTTTTAATATTTGGATTTATTCTCTAATTATGCACTTAATTGTGTTGGATGTATTAGTTAGATAGAATGTACCAAGCAAAATCTGATTGGGTATTAGATATTATTTTAAAGATTAATTTGATTAACTTAGGGGGGAGATAGAAAGGCATCATACTCTGATTAATGATTTCAGGAGAAACTGATTTTCTTTTTTTTCATAAGGGATGAGACAAAGGGATGATAAAAAATGGACAAAAGATACAAATATAATGATTTAAACTAAGATGATTAATTAAGGTAGAATTAAGAAGTGTGAAATATGTGGAGAAGTTAATATAGAAGGCTTAGAATGGTAAATAAAATAAGTAATGATATGTAAGATGAGCATGAATATAATTGAAGTCCATGAAGAGAGAGACACCTGGGTCCAAGTTACTTTCCAAAAAGATATTTTTTTTATGTTTTGTGTGTTGTGTGTATATGTCTTTTTTGGGGGGAGAATTGGTAAAAACTTGTAGAAATATAGAATGAGAATAATGGTAACTAAGTCAGAAAGAAACAGATGAAATAATAATAATGATATTGAATAAGAGTAAAGAGAAGTAAAGAGAAATTGAATAAGAGGTTTTGGTATATTATATGGAAATGGTTTAAAACAGAATCATAATTTATCTGACTTGTTAAATTTACAAGGGAAAAAGGTTTAAACATGTAATGAATAATGATAATTTGTGTGTTTTAAAAATTAATAAAACTTGTTTTTTTTTTAAAAAAAAAAGAACTGGGTTTTTAATTCTACCTGGTAGATCAGGAGTGTCAAACTCAATTTCATTGAGAGCCGCATCAGGGTTGTGTTTGACTTCAGGGAGCCATGGGGGCTATGGCCGGGGTGGGCGTGGCCAGCTCAACATCACTTGTGAGCGCTCTGCCAGCAAAAGCGGGCTCCCAAGCTCCATTTTTGGCTAGGCGGCCTCCTGCTACCCTCTGCCAGCGAAAATGGAGCTCGGGTGAGCCACATGCGCTAGCAGAGGCATCGCAGGTCAGTCCTTCACTGTTTCCAGGGTGGACCCACAGGCCAGATCTAAGCACCCTGTGGGCCACACCTGGCCCATGGGCTTTGATTTGACACCCCTGTGGTAGATGATTCAAATGTAATAGCAATAAATAATCAGCATGAAAATACATTGGGCTGGCAGAGAAATATTTAGCTATTCCACCACTATTGCCTATATGAAATTCCTGACAGGATATTGTTAAGAGAAGAGCAGTTTGGGATCATCCATTTGTTACCCTTCCCCTTCTATCCCACTAAAGAATAGAAACTAGAACAGGATGGTCATGATTATGTCTGACTTGTAGAAAAGCAAGACTGCTTGGGAGCATGTGGACATGGGAGAAGAATGATTTTAAAACACAACCCAAATATACTCACTGAATCAGACTAATGTCATCCACAAAGAACTTAATCCGGAAGTACAAGATGAAGTTTACTGTGTTTTTGTTCCTTTTCTTGGGTTCTTCTTTCCAGCCATCGGGGGCTACTTTAGTTAGCTTTAGCTCTGGATCGATGAAGAAGTACTCATTTTCTGTCATCAAAAGATAAATCAACATAGAACATCCATAAGACATCGCAGCTCAGTTGCTCTGCTTTGCTGATATATCCACAAGTCGTCTCCCAAACATGTGATTCTATTTGTTCAACGGAGGGAAATCAGCCTCCATTGGAGGAATTTAACTGTGAACAGCTGCATCTACGATTAAGCTATCAGCTGATTCTCTTAATCAATGTGGAAAACAAAGCAAAGTGGATAATTTAAGAATTTCTGAGAGCCAGAGCAGGGACAGATTCCTGTCTATACTTATGTATTACTGGTGATGAAGTAAAAGTAAAAGTTTTCTAATGGCTGTCTGAGGCCCAAATGAGCCATCCCTTAATGCATGCGATGGTTATTTCCTGGAACCCTCAGGATTGATCTGCTAGCTGGGGAATTCTTGGAGATGAAGTCCACATACTGAAGGATTCCCAGGTTAGGGAAGATTTACTTACATATTCTTTTGAACTATTACCATCTGGCAGACGGTACAGGATAATAACAACAAGGACAAATAGGCTGAAAAACAGCTTCTATCCCAGGGCAGTAACTATATTGAATCCTACTGTATAGTGCAATATTAATGCAATATCAGGGGTTTTCAGTTCAATGTATAGAATGTGAAGGATGTGTGTTTTGTTTTGTTTTCACAGTCATAATGTACACTGAAGATGGTATTTAATTTTGTTGTATGAAGTGCAATGACAATAAACTAAACTAAACTAAATATTCCCCACCCAGTTGCCTCCTATATTACTTGTTCTAACTGTCAGGAAATTTCTCCTTAGTTCTAGGTTATACAATATTCTTTCCACAATATCTGGATCAGGATATTTTGCCAGATTTCACATGGGGGCAAAGAAGGAAAAAAAACCATTCTTCCAAGCCATTCTTCCATTTTCCCCACTGAAAATTCTTCTGAAAATGCTATTTTGAGTGGTAACATGGGCATGCATGGTTTTTGCTATGAGGACAAATAGCAGGGGATTTTTAATTAAGAAAATGGCATGGGAAATAATAATAATTATCCCCCTTTCCCTACAAACCTGTTCCAATTCAAACTAGCTGTCTCTATGACGGGAAACAAATTTAGAAAGAAAGATGAATTTGCATATCTCTGTTATAGAGGCTAGTTTGTTTCCAGGAAAATATGGAATTTATTTTCGTGGTCAGTAATGACTCATTCATACACAGCAGTTACCATTTGATATCAAATGAAAAATATCCAGGGTAATGCAATATTTTTTCTCACCTTTTAAAGAAGCTAACCCAAACAAGTGATGCTCCATTAAACCAAGATGGGCGACCACCATATCAAATACGTCTTTGCATACGGTCTTAGTATCACAAGTCAGTTCTAGTCTTTGGCTACTTAAAAGCATGATGTTGACTTTTCGGCGATTGTCTTCATTCTTCCCTTTTTTGTTCTGATTTTCAAAAAACAAACAAACACAGACTGTCAAAAATGACACAAAATTGTATACACATAGGGCCATATATTGTCAAAAGCATCAGTTTTAAAAAACAAATATCCACTTTTCTAATATCACAGAGGAAATGGGAAGTGAGGGGAATATCAAATTTAATTTTTTGAAAATAAAATTACACACAGAGACATACAATACTGCAATGTGGAATTTATATCAACTAGAACTATATGCAGTTTTGCTTGCCACATTCTTTTTCTTAAATATATGCAGGAGGATATGACCAAGGCACTGTCAGTTATTCAAATACTCAACTAATGTTCAACTAAATGATACTCAAATACCCAACAAATGTTCAACTAAATGATATCATGACTCTATTTCAGTTACCTTGCTGTCAGAAAACATGATTTATAAAAAATGCACCACATAGCTTCTGCTACGACAGAATGTGTGATGAAAGGGAAGCAGTAACCACATAGATCACCTGCATTATAGAAACACCATTAAAAAATTCCAAATTCCATTAACTTCAAAGTACTAAAAATTATGTAAAAAGCAAGCTAGTTATGTCGGAGTGACACAGACCCAAACTTCGGAATTTTTGTTAAAAAATGTATTACCATACGGTATTGCAAGACTACAGGTTGATAATTTAATAATCTCCTACAAGAAGAGAGCCCCCATTAAAAAAAAACCTCCTTGCATTATTAACAACGTCAAAGAAAACATGAATCTACACAAAGAGGAAAATTCTGACACTGGGGATGAAGGATCAGTTATGTAGTCGGAAGTGAAACAGAAAGTTGTAACCCAGCACAAAATTGTATCATCCTCATGAAACAAACTGCAAAGTAGTTTAATAGAATAAATATAATTTAAACAGGAAAGGCAAGGGAAGGGAGTTATCTGAATTGGACAATATGATAGACAAACCAAACTTCCCAATCTCTAGAGCTGGTGTTGAAAGCTCATGGTGATTGTCACACAACTTATCAGATAAATATTGCATGTGGAGCTTAACATTCAGAGAAAGTTAAACCAATGATTGTCTAAAAAAAGGGCAAAGAATCCACTAAGACAGGAGTGTCAAACTCATGGCCCAAATGCGTCACGTGCTGGCCCCGCCCCCGCCCGGTTTAGCGAAGGGGAAAACCCTGATACGTCACATGATGACTCCGTGACGACGCAAGTTTGACACCCCTGCACTAAAAGAAATCAAGCAAATTAAGAGTATAGGAAAGATTTTATAGGAGAAGAAAAACACAAAGATCATTACATCACACACCATACCATCAGATCATTGCTATATGCTACTTACTGATAGTACATTTACAACAAAGGTCTTACCAAAATTGATTTTGGCAGGTCCAAGGAGGTAAAGGGTTCAATAGTAGTTTTTACGAACTCAGGACCAAAGAAATTCTGCAAATTAGAGAAACTTATTTTAGCATTCAGCATTCATGCCACCAAAAACTGATAAGTAACTGAAGACAAGAATAAAGCCCATAGTTATTACAGAGGGAAATGAGAACTGAAAAGAGCTCTTCCAAATGAAGTTTAGTACACTTAACCAATTTATTCATTTCTAGGACTCCATTAGATAAACATTCTGTACATTAAACAAATAAATGTTGTTTGTCTAATTAAATAGTTGCCTGGCGAAACCTGTTGCTTTCCAGATTGGTTGGGAAAATTACTGTTCCTTTATAAATTCCCATCCCAAGAATTTATCTTGGAATTCTGGAAATTGTAATCCCAACATAAGCATCAGGATGAGGAAATACAGAAACACCAATAGTCATTCAAGCAGCCATCTTTTGTCATGACAAGGAAGGATGGACCCTGTATTTTCCTTCCTGTACATTATCTCAAATTTTTAATACATAGGAACAAAAATATGGGTCTATTCTGCAGGCTAGTACAAAGGCCATTCAGGATTTGCTGGATTTTCTATTAATAACTTTTAATTCTTGATAAAAGCTAGCGAGACAAATGAGAATGGTGTTCCCATGGCATAATGATATACCAGGAAAAATTTCTCCTGCCATGAAAACTTGATACACACATAAAACTGTAACTGAATTTTAGAATATCAATTAGAATATTAACAATAATTAGAGTTCATATTAGAATGTTGATTAGAATATTTAATTAAATAGAATTTAATCAGAATTAGAACATTCTAATTAAATAATTAATTATTTTTTTAAAAAAACACAGGTCTTTCTAAAACATATGCAATGTCAGAGGAGCAACCTAACTGTATTGGAGAGATCTGAAAAAGGTCAACAGCATTAGCAGGAAACATTCCAGGATATTGAGTCACTGTTTTCCTATTGGTCACGATGTTAGTGTCAAAACTAGACACTATAGATTAGGTACACTTGCTTAAACTATCTCTGCTACTGTTGGGGCATGTAGTAAGAAGCTCAAGACTCTCCATAGGGATAACATTTTCTGAGACAGAATGGCTTTAATGGCTTATCAAAACATTAACCATGAAATATAAATACACACACACACACACACACACACACACACACACACACACACACAAATATACATACCATATGAACACATTTTATTCCGAGCATGGACACAAAATATACGTGCTAACACCAGAACAGACTGAAGTATTGTTAGAAATGACTGTCCACCTTTATAAAGAATTAATTTGTGTTCAGCCAAGTGTATTGCTCAACCACTTAAAATAAGAGTTGGCAACTAACTCACATCCGTTTCTAATCATTGTTTGGGACTTCTGGGACTGGCCAAAACTGGACCACTGAAATTTGTCAATCAATTGCTAAAAGCAAAACATTGCTATATAGTGAGGGAAGGAGGATAGAAGGGAGGGAGGGAGGGAGGGAGGGAGGGAGGGAGGGAGGGAGGGAGGAAGGAAGGAAGGAAGGAAGGAAGGAAGGAAGGAAGGAAGGAAGGAAGGAAGGAAGGAGAGTAAATGTGTTAACCTCTCCAGTCTGCTTAGCACAGTGCTTTTTTAAAAGATGCAACCCTTGGCCCACCATTGTCTTAACATTACCCTTAGCTTCCTTTGGGTCATGGCTGTTTCCAAAGCAATTTCTCTAAGTGGATCCTTTGTCATATCAAGCACAGCCGGCCTCACTATGTCTCCAGGATAGAGGCTGAGCCGAGACTGCCGGAGAGCCATTTTAGCTTGCAGTTGCATCATCTCCTCCTCCTGGCGCTTCAACATCACTTCTTGGCTCAACAGGTTGTCTTCAGGAGTTGCTTCATACTGTCTGTGGATGAAAAGGAAAGGGAACGGATTGCCGCGACAATGAATGAATGGTTCTGTAGCAGAGTTTAATAGGAAACTCAGCTTATAGACATAGATTCACAGAACTGTGGAGTTGAATGAGACCATACAAATTATCTAGTTCAAGCCTTGACAATGTGCAGGAAAGCCAATTAAACTATCTTTGAGAGGAAGCTGTCTAGCCCTTCTTAAAAACTTCCAGAAATGGAGATCTCACAAGCCTGCAGATAGATTGTTCCATTGCCCACATCTAACAGGCAGGAAATTTTTCCTTCATTTTAAGGAACAAAGTAACATTGGAAATGAGATAAATATGGGGAAAAGAACCTTTTTTTTTTTTTTAACCTTCCTTCAACTCCTTAGTTGATCAAAGGCAGATCCTAAGTGTCTTTGCTTAGTAAGAAGAGGTGTACCTTCCATATCCTGAGCCAAAGGCTTTTTAGAGTTGGGATGAGAGATGCAATATTTCAACTTCTGGTGGTTTAAGAAGTTACAAAACCCATGCCATGAATTCCATAGCTGTACATGTGGCTTTTCTCACTGCAACATATATACAGAGTTAAACTAAAAATGAAACTAATTATCTGCTGTTATGATGGCTACTCCAGGAGAGGAGGAGGAGGAGGAGGGGGGGGGGAAAGGAGAAGAAGAAGAAGAAGAAGAAGAAGAAGAAGAAGAAGAAGAAGAAG